AGCCAAGGAACAGAGAGATGGAGATGGGTAAAGCTGGTGGGAGCCGCTTTGCAGCTTGTCAATAACTTTGTTGGGCAGCCGAAGGAATGTGATGGCTCTAAAGCTGCTGTTCAGAGAATCATAACTTCACCTGGTTATACTCAGCTGACACTGGGTCAGCCTCATTTGCCTTGGTGTTGTCCCTTCTGTCTCCAAACCTATCTACATGTGCATCTTCAGTCTTGGAGAGAAGCGTGGGAAGTAAAATGCATGTGAGGATGTAGTGCAGATTCCCTGTCTCCTGTACTCTTGCCTTGATTTACAAAATGAGATGTGCTTGTCTTGCCTTAGCAAAATCTGGTTTAATTCTGTTTTTCTAAAGAGAGAAGTGTTGCACTTGTTCAGACAGCTGACATGTCAAGTGTTTAGCAGCAAATGCAAATGGGAACAGGCCTTATGCCTTCTCAGTTTGATGGGAGAGTAGCATTGTTGTCTGCAAAAGGTATTCCACCCCTGTTTTCCCTGCTTTGTTGTTATACTGAAGATAGATTATTTCTTTGCTACTCCAACCTTATTTCATACCTAGTAAGGATGAATTTTGAGGCAGTGTCTACTGGCTGTTCAGTGACAGCTTAAAGGAGCATGTGTTGCCCTAAATGATTTGCTTTGCACACTTTGTACCTGTGATCTCTAACACGCACATTCCCTCTTTTTGTGGTTATTTGGTCTAGTTCTGTATCTCTCTTCACCCTGGTGCAGTCACTGCATGCACCTTGCAGCTGCTTAACCAGGAGCAGCTGAGGCTGCTGGGGGGGCCATGGCGGCAAGGGATTTATATTCCAAGGGCTTCTCTCTGCTCTTGCAACATCATCCCAATCATTGTTCTTTGCAATAATGATTTTTTTTTATTTGTATAAATTCCTTGGCTTAAGCACTGTGAGATCAGCAAGAAGCAAGGAGCTCTTCTGAAACCCAGCAGGCAGTGCCCTCTGGGTATGTGTGTGCATTGCAAAGTCATCAGTCATTCAGTTGTTGACTCAAAGTTATTCTGGTTTGCCAGCATGCTTATTCCCTGCTGAGTTACAGCCACAGATAACAAAAGTGAACTTTGTGTTTTTCAGAGTGTAGTCTTTTCCCAGATTTTATTTGTTGCTGTCTTTTGTGGTTTGGTTTTGCTTTGGTTTGGCTTTGAATTTCCTTGGGAGTGTTTTATAGGCAGAGAAGGTAGTGCTTGAGAAGGGGATTTTGCCCCAATTTCTCAAAATTACTTCTGAGGGGATCAGCAGCATTCATCTCTTGCACTGCTGTCCAGATGGCTCGACAGGTTTGGACAAGAAGGTTTAGTGAGTGTTGTTTTGGGATGTGGGCGCAGGGGCTGGGTGCTCAGAGGGGTCTCTGGGTACAGGTGGAGCCATGAGGGACAGCGAGTCAGAAATACAGCTTATTGCTTGTGATAATAGAGGGCAGTTGTTAAATTGGGAAACGTGATCTGCAAGTAATTGTAACTCCTGTTCTGGATGAATGGAATTGGCTAAGGTGGAAGAGGCAAAACAACCCCATGCCTCTAGCTGATATTTATCTGATATTTAAGCATCCCAAGCCTCATCTGTAGTGCATTAAGGTATGGCTGCAACTGGTTATCCTCTCACTGGTCTTGGAAAGGAGCTGTTTGCTTGTCTGATACACTCACAGTCTGTGCATTGTGTTTGTCTGCTTCACACACTTGCTCTGCAGTCTGCAAAGGGATTTTTGCAATTGGCTGAAGGATGTTAAAAAGTGTTTTAAGCTTGTAATCTTGTATTGAGTGCCTTAGGGGAGGTATTGCCTGTTGGTCCCTGAGGAGACCATGTTTAGTGGGAGGCAAAGGGGGGACAAATCTTTTGTGCATGAGTTTGGCATGTCCCCCTAAAACAATGCTGACCTAATCCAGAAAGGCTGCCAGGTGCTTTGGAAGAGGTGAGAGTCATTTTCTGGAATTTTGTTTTGCTCTGCAGTTGTTGCATTTAAGTGGAACCAAAGTCAGCTGTGCTGGGAAGGACTTGTAGTGAATTGGTGTGGTTGGGGATACAAAGCATCTCTTTGCAAAGGGGGTGCATGTTAATGCAACAGCTTCCAGCTACTGCTGTTATCATTTGATCTTGCAAATATATGTAGTTTTTGGGTTGGTTGAGATTAATAATTAATAATATTAATGACAAATTTTATTTGTCCTAAACCTGAGATTTTAACAACAATAATAGTATTTATTTATGGCTATAATCCTGTTATATCTGCAGTTTCAAAATGCAATGCAAGATGTTTGTTCTTAGAAGGTGGTTATTATAATTTCAAAATTATTAGTTAAGGTATGAATAAACCTCCTATAATAAATGTTAAGTGTTTGTATTCATTGCTGTTAATCCTTACTAGTTTATTTGAAACAGTCTATGCATACATTATTTAATGGGTAACTCATTCTCAGGGTTACTTCTTAGGTTGTAAAATAATGCTTCTTATAAAGCCTGGACCTTAAAAAGGGACATAAGTTGCACTCTTTAAAATGTGAAATAAGTTAATGATGGGTTTTTTCTTTTTTGTTTGTGGGTTAAGTACTGCTTTCTGAATCTCTGCCTATGACCTGTGCACTTTTCAAAAGTGTGCTTACTTTGGCACCGTGTGGTAGGAGTACAGGTTGCCAGACAGTGCTGTGAGGCGAAGTACCTCTAGTGTCTTTGAGGGAACCCAATTCACTTGCTTTAAGTTGAAGGATTTGGGGTTTAAAGGAAGTCTTTGCTGTCTGCTCTAGGAAAATCTCTTGTGGGCAGAATACTTAATGTTTTCCCTTGCTTTCCCCCTTGCTCCCTGTCTTATCAACTGCAGCTTTCAATGGTTAATCTACAACATATGCAAAGAATGACAGTCAGAGTGTGATAAAGGCTGAGGCAAACTTGTAGAAATACCCTGCAATTTGGGGCAGTGGGAGAGGTATTGGGAATTGGCTTGGCTGAACAACCCAAATTAGTATTGCCAATTCCCTGACGAGAATGTGGGGCTGCTTTCCTGAGCAGCCAGTGCTGGTGTAGTGTGTTGCAAAGGCTGTGCTGGAATTGCACAGGTCATCTCCTCTCCTGTCCTGATCCTTGCAGCTTTGCTAAGATGCACTTGGAAGAAGTGATAAGGAAAGAGCAAAGTCAGTCTGTGCTGTGCTGGCACAGTGTGTACTGGGAGAGGGGCACCGGCCATAGCTGGTACATTGGACTAGGTGGGGCTGCTGAGCTGCCTTTCCCTGCCAAGACTTCTGGTCTCAGGTCAGATTCAGAAATATTTCCAGCTGCCAGGTGAGATGACTCAGCTTGAACATCTGGCTGCACTGAGAAACCTGCTCACACAAAATGAGTCTGATGCTGTGCTCGCTTGCCTCAGGGAGAAAGCTGCAGAGGGGTGCAAGGGCCCTACAGTCACTGGGGCTTGCCATCTCTCTGGGAGAGCAGAAGGTCTAAAAATGCCTCATCTGTTTTCAACAGGTAAAGTAACTCTTTTTACTAGAATAAATAGGCAGGAAGGAGACTTTTGAGTTCCTCAGGGGACTTGAAGTTTGACTAGGAAAACGGAATTTGAGGCACTGCATTTTAGTGTCAAGTTTTGTCCCCATCTTTGGCTCTTTGACAATCTAGTGTGGACCTGTATATTGTGTGTCCTCTGAGAAGCTTGGGGTAACTGTTTATATTTCATTCCTATTCGGATAGGGTGGTTTTGAAGCTCAAGCTCTGTTACCCTGTTTGGGGCTTTAGGATATAATAGAAGGAAAAATTGGAAGCAAAAGTTTAATGGTAGAGAGCATCAAAATATTGCAGTCTGAGTCACAGCTAACAAACATTATTTAGGGCTTTTTTTGGAGGAGAAATAGCTCTTAGATTGTTAAATTCACAAGCATGGTTGAAGCTGGAGTTCTCATGGTTGAAACTGAGACTTCTAGCCTGGATGGCTAAATGAGGGTCTTACGCACATTCCTGAGGGCTGTTGGATGTTCTTGCCTGTGGTATTTATACATTCACACATGCTGCTCATTCTGGGTTGGGAGCTGCCTTTGCAGTCATCACATCCAGCTCGGGGATGTCACACAAGGCTGAATCTCAACACTCTCTGAGGGCTGTCACATTTCTCTTCATAACTTCAGGATGGTGACTAAAGCTTGCTTAAGTGATGAGGAAGAGGATTGTCCTTAAAAATTACTTAGAGACGAGGCTTACAATGGGTCTAGTTCAGACTGAAATGTTTGGAATTTCATACAAAGCTCCAAAAACCTCAGAACCAAGAGGATAAATCCAGATAGAAGCTACTAAGCTACTAATCTGCTCTGATGTCAGTGGGAGCTGTTTCAGTGTCCTCAGTGACAAAAGCCTCTCCATTGGGTCAGTCACATATGTGCATTAATAATGAAGGAAATGCATTATGTGTTGTTTTATGTGTGGAAATGAAGGCTTACTGTGGGTGTGAATATTCTTCAGTAACAGCTGTGTCTGTGTAATGTCTTAGATGACCAGAAGTACTGGTTTTAGCTTGTTTTCAATAAAAATTTCTTTGAGCTTTTTGTAATGAGCAGGAAAACCAAAGCAGAAATCAACCTTGGTTACTTGGTTTTGACTGACTTGGTGTAAAGGCAGGACCAGGACTGTAGTTCCCCTATTATCAGTGTGCTCAAACTGGTGAAAACCCTTCTCCTGAGCCTGGGCACAACATTAAGGGGTCCCAGAATGAGTCCAAAGACATCATATCTGTGCTGCCACATGCTTTTGGGCTTTGAGGTTGACTGTACCCATGGCTTTTGACTTAAGCTGTCCTCCATTGGGCGTGAAGGAAGGAGAGAAAAGCACCTTTTCCAAAGAAAGAGCCTCTCTGGGAAGTGGGAAAGGTCTTTACTCCTCCTGCCTCTGAGCCCTTGCATGTTTGTGATGTGTAATGATACTTGCCTGCCTTTTGTATGTTTTTATTTTCCATTCCTGCTCATAGCGATATAAATTGTTGTTTTCTTTTTTTAATAGGTATATTGCAGTGGATCTGAAGTTGACATAAGAGAGAATTTCTTCTGGGAAGAGAAGTTTCCCTGTGAGGCCGACCCTGAAGATGTGGACTGCCATTGTGTTCTTCCTGCTGATTTCCATCTGTTTTTGTGAACACCAATTTTCTGTCCTGAAGGGGAGAGGAGTCCATGTAGTGCAAATAATCAGGCTTACCAGTGAAGAGCAATGCAGGCAGGCCTGTCAAAGCTCAGGTGCTTCAGGTGAGGTTCCTGTCCCTTGGATGGAATTCCAGCTGCATTTTCTGCTCCTTGAAGGTCTCTGCTGCTCCTTAGACTTTCTTTTTTAATTCCAGTTGTTTACAGGCATTTACAGTTACAGCTGCTATGTGTGGTGTTGAATAACTTCTGACAGATTTGGTTAAATTGAATCCAGGACAAGTGCTTCCCAGGGCCCTTCAGGCTTCCATAGGAAACAGCATGTGCTGTTGGTGTGCACCGATGGCGTGCAAAGTGTTAGGTCACTTGAATTGCAGGAATTATTCCCAGCTGCCAGATGCTTGCAAGGGAGCAGTGCTGTTGCAGACAGCTGCACTAGAATGAGTAATCTTTGCTCCCTGGTATTTGTGTGTGTTCTCTGCCTCAGAAGAAACTACTTTGTCCTGCAACCAAGCACAGGGTTAAATCTATTGAGGTAAAAGCCTTCTCGCTACATCTGAGATTTCCTTACAAAGATTTAAAATTCCAAAAGAGTCTTCTAGTTGTCTTTATGAAGGCCCCAGTCCTGTCTAGCCAGAGGAGAAAGCTTGAAGCTCCTACAACAAGCTGGTGCTGCTGTGGTGAAGATGAGACCTTGGCTCAGGTGGATGAATATCTGACATTCAGGTGGTTAGGAACCTGATAAAGATGCTGGTTTTAATGGCCATTAATGGTCATTTTCCTCATGAAGACATCTAGATGAATTTACATGGTTCCTAACTGTAGTGCACTTTGTATGAATTGCTGTTGTCAGGAGATGCTGGTACCAGAAGACACACAGGTGGGTAGGCTACATTGGCAATATTGGTTTCATTGGCTTTCTTTGGTTATTTTCACTAAGGCTGAGTCAGGATCCTTTCAGGTCAGACCTTCTAGATATTGTGTGGTTTGGAGGGGTTTTTTGGTTGTGTTTTTTTTATGTCCTTTTTTCCAATTCTTTAACTGGAGCCCCAAAGCAACGTCTTTGGTATCCTGTGTTCAGCAATCCATTTTGTCTGCTGTTTTCAGGGGGCTATCACTGTAATTGGTCTGTGCCCTACCAGAATCACTGCCTCCTCCTGCAGTGTCACCAGCTGAGTGTGTGCCAGAATGCTGGAGAACAGGACATCAGAGACCTGCTTGCAGGTAAAGCCATGTTTCAGCCTCTGGGAAATCCAGGGTCCTGATTCTTTTGCTTTAAATGCCTACATTTAACCCTTGATAGGCTTTCAGCTGAGGAGGATGGGTTGTGAAATGCCTGCAGGGTGGTTCTGTAGGTACTGTTCACTGGAATAACTGTTTCACTTTGTCCTAGGGATTCTGGCACTTGCATGAGTGCATGATGTGTCTTTGAATAACTTTTGTAACACTTACTGAGTAACAGTTTGTCTCCATGTTGAAGACATCATTCATTCAAGCCATTTGCACGCCACACGCTGTCCTAGTGAAAATAAAGGCATAACAGATGTATTTATATATTTTTTTCAGAGAAAGGAAAATGTCCTGGCATTGTTTTTCTCTCAGATTGCCAGGATTTTGTTCCAGAGTCAACAGACTGCTTCTTTATTCAGAGCAGCAATTGCTCATGGTGACTTTCCAGTGCCAGGGTATTCAGTTTTAATAAAGTGACACAATAACAAAATGGAGCTTATTTATAAATGGGAAATCAATCTTATAAAGTTTGTTTCAAGAGTTCACTGTACCCAAATTATAAAAAAAAGTTTGTTCATGGTTCTTTTGGGTTGGCAAAGGTTTCTCTGCAATGTAACAACTGGACTTGTGATAAGCAGATGGGATTTGTCACTATAAATCTAGCTCACTTAGTTGTGAAGGAAATGATCCTGGTGTATGAAGGTGTAAGTAGAAATTTCTGTTCAGATTTGACAAGTGAAAATTATGAATCTAGGCACAAAGGCTTTGTCAATGACATGTAACTTTGAAAGCATGAATCCTCATCTCAGGAACTGACATTTGTAGGACTGCTCCTGTTGATACTGTGCTTCTGCATTGTACCTCTCCACTTCATTATTCCCCTTCTGTGAAATTAACTCCCTGGATAAGCAAATACGAGAGATCTGTGGAAGAAAAAAACAAACCAAAAAACCTCAAAGGGATTATGTGCAATAAAGGCTGGGGACTCTCGAGTTTTCATGTTGTTGCTGAATTCAGGACTGATTTATTCCATTTGTACTGTGTGTACTGCAGAATGTGTGTTCTGGTTTGCATGTTGGGGGTTGAGGTTAGATTTGAGCTTGAGAGTTTTTTATTCTTACAAAAGTAATTTGTTGTGTCTTTTGGAAGAAATTGTCAACAGCAAATGGGAACCAGCCCTGTTTCACCGCCAGAGCCATCCACAGAAGACAGAGAGGATGCTGAATGCACGGATTGATCAACACAGTGTGCAAAACACGTTTTCTTCAATTGCTCAGACTCACAGTATTCATTTGAGGCATTTGCTTGGGGTTCAGAAGAGAGATGTCACAACAAGTACAAGCAAACCAATTGCAAGTGATGCTGCCACCACTACTGCCCCTGCCATAACGACAAGTGTTACAAATGCAACTTCCTCTACCACTTACAAAGCGACTGCCAAAGCCTCAAACCCCCCTGGAGGTTCTGATGCTTCTACTACAACCATGTCATCCTCTGCCTTTTCTCTCCCTCATGATAACATCTCTGCTCCCACTACCAGCAATGTCACCCAGATGGTGATGACCAGCCAAAAATTAGGAAGTAGTAGCTCTGTCCCAGTACTGTCCCCCACTTCTGCTCCCCTCACTGTTCCTTTTGAAGCAGGCACCCAAGCACAGCAGCCTGGGCCAGGTAGCACCAGCAGCAGTGCTCCTCATGCTGACAGCCTCAGCACTGCTGGAGCTGATCTGAAGACACTGACCCCAGCACTGACCCCAGCACTGACCCCAGCACTGACCCCAGCACTGCCCACCCGCACCCCACAGGATGCAGGAACGTCTTCCAGCGCTTCCATGAATGCCACGGCACCCATGCCAACAGAGAGCTCTCCCTCTGTGAATTCAGTGCATGCTGGGACATCACTAAGTCTAAAGCCAGAGGTAAAAACAGCAACAGCATCCTTGAATGAATCAGCTTCTCCTCTGGGCTCTACAAGAGGTGCTGTGGTTTTAACTACAATCTCTACAGTAGCAACTACAACTGAACATGGGGTAAAGTCAACATCCGATGTCTTTTCAACAACCATGGCTCCAACAGATGCAGCCAAAACAACAGCTTCAGGCCTCACAGAAACTCAGGACACAGACAACGAATATCTTCTCATTGCTGCTGAGCCCCTGACTCAGTACTTAGTGGATAAAAGTTCACTACTTGCAGTGCTTTTAGTTGGTACGTTCTTTTTCTTAACTGTTATAGTTCTTTTCCTGATGCAGGCCTATGAGAGCTACAAGAAAAAAGATTACACACAGGTGGATTACCTGATCAATGGAATGTATGCGGACTCAGAGATGTGAAGAGGTGGGGATAAATAGTAGTCAAGAGATGGAAAGGAGATTGAAAGTCTGCATGACTTGTTTTTCCTTTCTATCTGCCTATAACACAAACTGAAAGTGCTTCCAAATTTACTTCTAGTGCAATTGAGGAGAAATGCCATGTACTGTATTAAGAAAAAATAATAATTTTTTATTCAACTGTGCAACAGGTTGCTGCAAAACCATAAAAAAAGGAATAATTTTTAACATTTTCATAATGCACGGTAGCTTTGGCCATTATAATTCATTGCAAAATAAATCTAACAAGGTGTAAGTTACCATCATCTGAAAATGCTGTAGTGCTTTTCAGCTGTTTACAGTGCAGGTTGTGTTTCATTTGTCTCACGTGTGCTCCTCTGAAAACAGAGCAATGGATGCTGTCACCTTTTGTGAAGTGCTCCCAAGTAGCCAGATGAGAAGTGTGGAGTACTGTTGCAACAGGGGACTTTTAATCCAGTGTGTGTCATATTTCAGTGTGCTTCTTGCTTATGAAGAGATCTGTTTACAAGGTATTGTAAACTCTGTTTACTGCTAACCCAAGGTATCTTTTCACCACAGAGTGGATTACTGTGCCTCTGCACTTAAATGATCTTATTTTTATATTCAGTTAATAAACAGGGCCCTGGAAGGGCAGATCTTCTTGTGTTTCTCATTTCATTGCTGTCACTGCCAGTTCAGAAGCAAGCAAATGGGCTTTTGGGGCTGGAGTGAATTAGCTCCACTTCAGTATTCCAAGTGTGGGGGCTTTGAAGACCTTGTTGAAAGCATGGACATGACATAGAAGATACTGATCATCTTCCAGAGTACTGCTTCTATAATTTAAAGCCATTATGCTATCAGTCTCCCAGGTGTGCAGACCCACTTACTGCTCATTATCTTCCATACCTAGGGCTCTGTTTTGGATTTTCTTTTGCATTTAGGACAGAGTTGTTATTATTTTGGAAATTTAATTGCACATGCAGTTGCAACATGGCTCCCAAGATCTGCAGCTGAGAGAATGAGTAGAAAACACCTGATTTTTAGGCAAGTATTCTTCAGTGATTAGTGCATCTTATTTGGATGACACGTAAATACCAAAGTGCTGAATTGAGGTGTTGGGGTTTTTGTAACCATATTGATGGCTTGTCTCTCACTTTGAATTAGTTGACTCTTCTTTAATCCAGCTTGCATGTAATCTTGAGTGAGAGATGGTAATAAGCACACCTCAGAATCTGAGCTGCTGAGTTCCAGTTTGATTATTTATTCAAGTTTTTGGGCTGTTTAGAATTTGGAGGGAGCCTTTACCCTGGAAGAGGCTGCTTCATAGCCGACTTCATTGTCAGTTGAGAGTGCTGTCAAAACAGCTGCAGGGAGCACAAGCAGCAGCACAGCCAAGGCGTTGTTTGAACAAAATAGACTGGAGAGATTTTCCTGAACCTTACCCAACATAAATTTTGAGGGTAAAACTTCAGCAAGTAGAGCCTGTTGAGGAAAGAGACAGCTTTGGAAGTGAGATCACTTGGTTTCCAGCGTCAGGGTGCATTTAGCAGTACTTTTGCAGGGACCTCTTCTGCATGCCAGTAGGCAATAGGTTAGAGCATCTCTCAGGGTAAAGGGGGAGCGTGGTTTGGGGAGTCTGCCTCCTTGGGAAGTTTGAAGTATAAGAAGGATAAGCCACAAAATTTACTCCATGTTTCCCTGGAGTGGGCCAGAATTTTTTCAGGGTCTCAGTTTTATTGTACTTTAAGATTACTATTAATAGGTTTGCCCTGAGCAGAAGGGAACTGAATTCCAATTTCTCTGCCTTCCAGGAGCCACCCGTGTAGAGCATCTGTGCAAACAAGGTGCTGGGAACATCCCCCAGCACAGTGGGGAGTTGCACCCTGTTGAGGTGCTTGGGATTGTGTTGAGCTGTTAGCCTGTCTGGCAGATGCTGTTCTACATCCACCAAGTCCAGAGATTTATCTTTACATAGTAATTTCAGGTTTCACCTTAATTGCAAGTGAGTCACTAACCACAGACCTAAGGATGTGGTCTTGAGCTCTGCTCCAGATACTGAGATAAGAGCTGTCTGCTGGCTCCCTGCCATCTCCCAAGCAGGAGGATGAGCCTTACCTCAGACTCAGTTCACTTCTTTTGCTTCTTGTTTAGGCAGCTTGGATAAATGCATTTTGGTAGGCCAAATCCAGGCAGTAGTGCTCTTCCTTCTCTATGTAGTGAATTCCTGCCTTTAGGAAGTGCCTTCCTACATAAAGGGTTGTTGTTGCAGCTTTTCTGCAGTATTTTTGAGTTTTTTTCTAAGTTGCCTGAGCTATTTCCACAAACACAAACTATGATCATCAGACTGGTGATTGCTTATTCTGAAAATGGGGAAATTTTTGATGAACTTTGTATTCACTGTGGCCTTTTACCTTTTGGTCTCTGTGGATGTGTTCACAGAGCTGAAGTTGGACACCAGATTCTGTGGAATGGAAATTTGTGAAGTTGCATTGGTATTTATTTTCCTCTTTGAAGAGATATCAGACTCTTGCACTGATTTCTTTGAGAGACTAGGAATGGAAGGGAGAGGAAAGTCACATTAGTTAAAAGAAACTCTTGAGTTTTTTCTAAAACTTGAAGATTGGTGTATTAAAAACAAATAAAACCCTCCAGGGATAATTTACATGGGAATGATATAATTACAATAGTTGGAATTGAGTTACAGCTCTATTTACAAGAGTCTTGGGGAGTTTCTCATGGACGCAGTGAGAATATTACAAGTACATCATGGCTAAATGAAATCACCACTATAAAAGTCTTTGTGGCCTTTTAGCAGGTCCTTACAGGAAGGTGAGTACTCATCAGAATCTTGATGCAGTTCCCACAGCTGTGGTATGTTTACATCCAGGTCTCCTCATCAGATACTGGCACAGCCTGTCTTTTCTGTTCTTGAGTTACTGTACTTCCAGGTCTGGATTACTTTCTCAACAGAAACTGAGCCTTTTAGTGTGAGCACCAGAATGAGTCTTACCTCAGTGCATTTCTGCATACAAGGGGAGATCTTTGTTTGCCATGGAGTCATAGAATTATTTGGGTTAGAAGGAACCTTTAGAGGTTATCTAGTTTTAACCCCAGTGCCATGCCAGGGGCATCTTCAACTAGACCAGGTTGCTTAGAGCCTTGTTTAACCTTTCTATGAAGGTCTCCAGGGATGGGGCAACCACCACTTCTCTGAGCAACCTGTTCAAGTGTTTTACCACCCTCATAATGAAAAATTTCTTTTTTATATCTAGTCTGGATTTACTATTTTTAGTTTAAAACCATTACTGCTTGTCTTATCTCCGTGGTGCTCAAGTTGCAGTGCCAGCTGAGGTAGGTTTTTCTTTGCAGCCCAATGGTCTCATAATAGCTGAGTTTAGGCATTTAAAAACAAACAAACAGAAAAACCCAGGTCATAAAAACCTGGGCAGGAGCCTTGGCTCTGGAAGGCTGGGTGTGTCTTCTGGCTTGTATGTTGAGACCCAGTTGTAAAGATTTGTCAACTTTGATGTGTTGTGTCTAGCTACTTGTAAGGCTTGAAGAAGGATGGCAGTGGGACAGTGGAAGGTGGGGTGCATGTGCAGTTTTCTAAAGGGCTCTTCTGACTTGATCTGCAAATATAAAGCTATTAGGATTTGTTCCCTTCTGGCTCTTTGAGCTGGAGATCAGCAGCAGCAAACATCCACTTGGTTGTTTCTACCTCCACGCTGTTGTTTCTCTCTGGGCTAAAATCATCCTCCTGGAATGGCTTCCCATATTTTGCTTTTGAGGCCCATCTACTGCAATTTCATGGTGTACTGTTGAAGTAGTTAATAGTATTTAAAGGGAGAAAAATGCAACATCTTTGGAAGCTTGCTTGCAGAATTCACAATATAACCATAGATAGGGTCCTACCAGGTTATCTAGAACACATCTGCCAAGAACAATATTCTGCTGCTGTGAAGCATATCTGATCCAAATTGGGATTCAGCCTGTTGTATGGCCTAAAACAGGAACATCCTGGAATTAAATTTAGATTAGATTAATTCTAAATGCCACCTCCCTTTTGTTTAATTACCTGTACTAGAAGGACGTTGCTCTAGACAGAAGAGAAGAAAGGAAATAATATTGTATTAAAACATTTAAAAGGAGTAGTAGGAAAGAAGACCTTTGCAATTGCAAATATGAGTTTGCAGTATGCCATGTAGTGTCCAGAGAATTAAAGAGCATATGCAGAACTCTTTAGCAGGACCTTTAAAGCAGCTTTTGCATGTAGCTGGAAAATGCTCAGGAAGGTCTGGAAATGGAGGTATCATGGAGCTGGTTTCTCTGGATTTGTCTGGTGGCTGCTTATTTTTGGCATCAAAAAAGGAAACCTGAGCCCTTCTCTCCTGAAGCATTTCTGAGGGCTTTTTCCACTGTGGGTTCTCTGGTATGCAGTAAAGGCAAGTGTCCTTAGTTCAGCTGGGTGAGAGTTAATTTTCCTTTAAGTAACTGGTACAGCGCCATGCTTTGGATTTAGTATGACAAAAACATTGACAATACTCTGATATTTTAGTTGTTGCAAGCCAGGGGCTGCTTGGTACTCAGTTGCCAGCTGGGATTAAACTGTGACAGCAAGTTCAGATTGCGACATCTCCCTGACCAGGGCAACTCCAGCTGCCTCCTTTCCATGGCCTCTGAGTCTCATGAAACTTAATTTCCTTTGTTGTGCTTGGCTGAAGTTGGCCCGTGGGTTCAAAAGCAAATGCTTTCATCTTGCACGAAGTATGGGCTCGTAAGATTGTGTTTTTCTAGAAGAAAGCAGGCAGAAGAACAGCAGAGCCTAGAGCTGTATTGATTCCTGTCTGCTGGAAGGACTAGGTGGCTCAGGGTTAGGGATTACTTTGACTTTTTGGGCTTGCTGGATAGCTGGTTATAGTGGGGAAAGCTGCTTTTTGCTCTACAGCCTTTGGGGTCGATGTCCTTGCAGTCTCATCCTCGGATCTTGCCTTTCTGTGCTGCTGCTGGGCTGGGTGGTGTGTTCAGAGCAGCCCTGCCTTGGCTGAGACGTGCCAGCAGGTTGTGCTGCGGGGCTCCACAAGAGCTTGTTCAGCCGCCCTCTGGCAGGGAAACCCCAAAGGAGCTGGGGAAAAGTCTCTGCCTGATCCGGGCCTTCCTGGCCAGCCCCAGGTGATGCTCAGTTTGTGCTTTGGCTGGAGCTGTGTTTGTATTACGACGCTTGAAGGAGAGGTTCAGCAAGCATGCAGAACTTGCCCAGCATCCTGCTGGTCCAAATTAAATGGGCTAAAGCTGTTTGGACTGGATTATACCATCTGTTTGAAAAAGCAAACAGCTTGTCGTCACAAAAAGTGGCTAAATTATTTTAACTCTTTCAAGCCGGGACAGGTGAAACCAATTAAACTGTTTTTGAGGGTCATGGACTTATGCAAATTGTTCCTATTCTTTACTGCAGATTATATAGCCAAAGCTTGTAAGGGTGAATACTGTTACATCTTTCACATAATTCCTCTAACATTGAGGAAAGGAAAAGAAAGGAGGAGGTATTTATTCATCTGGAAAAAGCTCACATTAGAACTGACTATCATGGTTAGTTAAAACAAAAACCAAGATTTAACCACATTCTAAATTTTAAATTAATCTCTGCTCTCAAATGTTGAG